GAAAGCTGCTGACTACTAAGTAACGCCTTTCAGTCCGCGTAAGGAAGGGGAGAGCAACTTCTTGGAAGAAAATAAATCCTCTTTTGTTGGCATTTTTCCATCAAAAATATTGATCTTCAAGCTAAAAATATTGGAGAGGCGGGGGGAAGGGTGTTGCTGCATCCCAGGGGCTCCGAGGACCAGTCCCTCTTCTGTGCTTAATGAACCCTCACAGCTTCAACACCCTCCTGCAAGACAGATGAAACGAACAAGGTGCGAAGGCTTTAGTAGCAGTGGAGCCCGTACTGGAGCCCCGGAAGCACCGCCCTGCACTACATAGGTGCGGCAGCTTCGAAACAACCCCCCAGCATGACGCCCGGGGCTCTGTCACCCCGCCTCCACGTGTCCGGCTCTCCCTGCTCTGCCAACTAGTCGTTTACTCTTCGCCGGACCTTTGGGGTGGGTTTGTACACAGGACTGCACAAGTGTCTCCCTCCCCTCTCACCCCCCCCATGGCTGCGCACACTTCTGGCCAGGACATGTCAGGGAATAGAGGAAGGTTTTCAGTAAGAGAGAGGCAAAATACCACATCGTGTTCCCTCCACGCGTGTCTCTGAGTCCAAACATCCCCCTCTCGGGAAGGACACTGGGCCTACTGGGTTTGGGCCCATCTTGCTCCAGCAGGAGCTGATCTTACCTAATTACACCAAATAAGGCTGCATTTCGAGCTGGTGGGGGCTAGGACTCCAACATAGGAAGATCCGGGGGGTTTACTAGTCAGAAAGGAACACACAGGGGTAAGCATTTTCCGTGAGTTAATAAGCCTTTGCTCTAGCACCCACAAACCCAGTGAGTGAGGACTCCTGGTTCTGGAAGGAGCATTGTACCAAGCACAAAGCACGGCTGTGAGGAACTCAAAGGCGCACCTGTGTCCTTCCCTGGAGAAGTCTTCCATGTACTTAGGGACTCTCGCTAAGCCTGTGCAGCGAGTAAACAATGCTGAGAAATGCAAACATGTCAGTGTTCCCTTTTAATTAGTCAGTAGAGCATTCCATCCACGCCCGCACCTGAAACATTTTGCAAGAAGCCCCCAGCTGGATCTTCCCACCATACCATCCTCTCCTTTACATTCTGAGGCTGTGTGAGCACCAGGAAGACCCAGTTTAAACCACTGCTGAATGCAAGAGGGTTCTATGGCAGCGCCATATCAGGGGCTCCATCTAGTGGCAGGAAACATATTTGCATGCCTATGGTCTTCAGGCTGAGAACTCTTGCACAAAAAAAAGTTTCCTTGAAGAATGGAGCACTCAGGAGGAGTTTCATAAAAGAGAACAAAGATTTGGGGGAAAGAAGGGGTTAGTATTTCAATTGGGACAATGGAAGAGGAGGAAGTGCATATATAGACATGAACTCTACATCAAAGGTAATACACATAAGCTCTTACCAAAGACAGAAAATCCAAGGTAGGAAAAAATGAAAATGACACCAAGCCTCTCCACTGCAGGAATGAGAGAGAGAAGGGCGAAAGGCAGTGGTAAAAAGAAGACGAAAAGATTGGGAGTCTGTGGGGAAACGTGAGAGCAGAGGGAAGATGTGCTCCGGAAAAATCAAGTACTGTTGTGAGATTCTTCGCCACAGGCCCAGAGTCCTCCAGGAGGTTTGGGGGGCTGACGGTGGGGATTTGGGTCACCAGATGGGTCCAGTGCATCCCGGTGTGGCACACTCAGATGGCAACAATGCTTCACCTTTAACCAATGCAGATGTGCTGTGTTCGCTAAGGGGCAGGCTATTCTAGCAACTCACAGCACATAGGATGGGTGGAGGCAGCGAGAGCTTGCTCAGAAAGGCTTGTCACCAGGGTGAGGGAGGGCCCAACATGTCCATGGGCTGTAGGGAAACTTGGCTTCAGGAGTGAGCAGCACCCAGGCCACAAGCAGAGCTAGCCAAACTGAAGGGTGTCTACAGGCCTACTGGATAGGCCTCTGGCCATTTTCCATGGCTCCTGCCTAAGCTACAATGGCTGTTAAATTGTTGGGGGGTTTTGAGTGTTCCTTCAACTGTGCTGCCAATCTTCTAGCATTAGCAAGTGTAACAAAAGGCCTGGGGATTTAGCTTAGTGGCACCTCACCTGCCTAGCAAGCACAAGGTCCTGTGTTCAATCCCCTGTACCACACACACACACACACACACACACACACACAAAGAAAAAGTAACAAAACCTAAAATAAAGTTGAATGATCTTTGTTAGTGTATATCTAGAGCTGCCCACCCACCCACCAAACCATCACGCACTCATAGGCAGGTGTTTTGGAAAGTGACTGAATCATGGGGCCATTACAGCTGGGTGTGATGACAGGAGGTGGGGCCTGACCTGGAAGGGTGCATCTCCTTCCCTGGCTCCTCCCTTCTTTCTCTGTTGCTAGCTGCCATGACATGAGCTTTCCTTACCAGACCCTTCTGCCATGCTGGGCCAGTCTTCGAGGCTGTGCACCATAGACTGAAACTTCTGAACCGTGAGCCAAAAGAAACCCCTCCTCCTTTAAAGTATGGGTGGCAGGTATTTATCCCAGTGATTCAGAAAGTGACTAAGACAGCAGGAGCCAGCTCAAGAGAAGAGCTGATCTAGGATTGAATCTTGAGTGTGGCCAAAGGAGAGCCAGAGCCTGGAAAGTCAGCACACTCAGGAGACCCTTAACTTCAGGGACATTTCCACAATAGGTGGTGGAGATGCCCATGGCTGCAAGCCATATGGCTCCTGCAAGACGTGGGTCTATCTGGCCTTATGGTTGGCCCGGGACGATGGGAAGATATGCCCTTCCTTGTTATTCTAGTCACTGTAGAACTTGAAAAGTCAAGGCAGTCCAATGCAAAATCTGACACAGCAAAAGGACCTCAAGACAGCTGCTTGGGAATTTGGCCTGCATTCCAGCCCCTCGGTGTCCTGCTAGCATTCTGTGTGGAGCCAGCAGCTGTTTCACATGTTAGGGGGTCAGCAAGTAAAGCAAACAACTTCCTCAGAGAGATTCTATTCCTATCAAGCCTGAGGTGTCTGCCGGCAAACCCAGCCTCATAGCAGTTCTAACACTCTGGAGCCCACATCAATCTCCTGGAAGTGTTTCCCGGACAGCCAGTATGTCCATAAGTCGTCAAGGAGGAGCAAAAGTCCCGGGGCGCACTGCCTTCTTGCCCTGCCCCACTCTGTTGTCCCCCACACAGCTGACCTCAGCTCTCCCCCGATTCCTCCACTCACTGACTGACCCTCGTTCTCTCCAGCCCAGTCCCTCCTCCTCCATCCCAGCCCCACACGAACCACCTCTTCCCCTCTCCTCCCCATGCCACTCTGTGCTGCAGCCCTCTTCCTGACCCCTCTGTCTCTGCTTCCTCCACTGTACAATGACTGCCTGCTTGGTTCCATCCCTCGGGGCAGTATGTTATGGGCCACCCTCCCACGACTCAGGCGCATGGAGGAGGACAGAACATTGTTTTGGGGGTAGTTCATTTAACTGTCCCACAATGTATATGCTTTGCAAAACATCATTTTGTACACAGTGAATACATACAACTTTCACTTATCCGCTAAAAGAGCAATTTTAACAAGCATGTCTCCAGGGTGACGGTTCACAGGAAGACAGGAGACGGGGACCCAGTCTTTTCATTCCTTTCCAATACTGTGTCCTTGATCAGATCATAAGTCTTTTAATAGGAAACAGCACTATGACAAAAATCAAATCCTCCCAGGAAATGCTGTCAACTGACTTTAGGGACAGTAAGTAGACAAGCTCCCCCGTGGTCCTACCTTTCCCAGCAAAGCTTACACAACATCCGTAACAAAAGAATGAGGGTGAGAATAAACACCTCTAAGACACCTCATTGTTGAACGCCATAAAGCCAGGGTTTTTGCGTATTTACCTGACCCCCTGCAATTCTGGTTAAACACAACTCTCCACTCCATTGTTTGGACAAGGAGAGGAAGAAGTGTGGAAGCCAGAGCTGCCATTGCTCCTCCTCCCCTCCCCGGCCCCGGCCCTCTGCCTGCAACTTAGCTGGGGGATGACAACGTCCACAGCCCTGTGCTGAGCCCTCCAGGATGCCCGGGCCTGGCTCCTCACATGCCCCTCACCCAGGGCTGCCGGTGCAACTACAGGATGCCCAGGGAAGTACGAACTGCACATCAACAACCAACAGCAAAGTCCCAACAGGGCATACAAAACTACTGTTCATACTTTGTATGTGTGTGTGTGATCCACGGTTGATCTAAAAGCTGAAACTACTCGCTGTTCTTTTTACTAGCTAAATCAGGCAGGTCTGAAAGCCATTCTCTCCTTATCTTCCATCCCTTACCCCCTGGTGCTCCCCACTGTCACCCTGTCTCCTACAGTCTCCTAGCACAGTGCACCTGCTGGTGAGCTCGTACAGGGCCATGAGGTCAGCTAGACAAGGTCTCCTTCCTCCCCATCTCCAAGTCTAGGACAAACAGATTGTCCGAGTCCTCCCCTATCGGAGCGATGCCCTGGCTTTCTCCCTTCTGCACAAATTAGCCACCAGCCTCTTTCAGCTTTCCATTTTTCCAAGACTTTCCAGCACACTGTTTAGGCTCTGGTGAAATGGAAATTCTACTAGTTTTATAAACCCACAGATCTCCAAAGCAAGAAACGACTCATGCCAGCAAAGCTGCAAAGGGTTATTTCACCTTCGGTCCACAGGCTGGTAAAGAATTTTATATCTACCGGGCTGCTTCCCTCACAACTGTTTAGAAGATGAACTCAAGAATCAAAAAGCAAAAGAACTCACCCTTAGAGAGCAAAAGCTCAAACTGAGAAATGTTTTATTTTTAAGACAAAACAGCATTAACACATCCGAATGCCAGCACAAAAGAGAAGACAGCACTCGGGCATCGGGTGCACAGGGAAACCACTGAAAAGGGGCCACGGCCAGGAGGAATGGCAGGTGGGCAGGCCTGCAGACCCTTTGCCCTACTCTGATGCGCTCTCATTCCACTCTCAAGAATTAAAGTAATCAGATCATTTTACAAAGACCTTTAATATCAAAGTACACTTCCAAAAGTCCAAGCTGGACTCAAGGTCATGGCCGAAGTTAGACAGGAAAAGGGGGAGCCGGGTTCACGGGACAGCAGGCACTAGATCTAGCCGCATGTGCTCACCGCAGAGGAGAGGAGGTGGCACTGGCCTTAATAGAGGCTGGTCTTCTTCATGATGCGCAGGAACTCCTGCTCGCTGACCTCTCCGTCTCCATCTCGATCAGCTTCATCAATCATTTCCTGCGTGACAGTAAGGATTTGGGTTAGATTCATTCAGAAACTGAAGGCTGTTAAGCAATGGCTTCTCAGAGGGCCGTGCATGGGGACGGCTGTGGCCACTGAAGGCAGATGTGCCACTTTTCAGGGCAGCCTGGCTCCTGGGAAGCTATTTGCAAACCAAGTCACACTGTCATACACACCAACTGGAGGGGAACTCGAAGGTCACCTTGACTGGAGGGACTCACTACAGGTAGGTGCATTTTTCTGGTTCTGTGAGACTCACAAAGAACTGAGTAGAGAGGAACGAAGACCCTCGCTTTCCTTCAAAGAGGTACTTCGGCCGGTGAAAAGGGAACTCAGCAGAGCCCGGAGCGTACCAAGGCAGGCCCTGCATTCTAGTCTGAGGCGTTACACACCTGCAGCTCCTCGTCAGTCAGGTTCTCGCCCAGCTCCTTGGCCACACGCTTCAGATTTTTGAACGATATTTTCCCAGTTTCGTCATCATCGAAGAGCTTGAAAGCTTTCAGGATTTCTTCCTTGGTGTCTTTCTCAGACTGAACAAGTAGAACACAGAATGCCCGAGCAGGGAAGCATCACGTCACCAAGGTCCTGCAGCCCTGCCTCCACCTGGTCACCCTACCCGCTTTTCAACAAAATAACTCAAGCCTGGACTCAGGACGACTGCCAGCACTGCTACCTACTGCCGTATCGTGTTCACATCTATTTTATCACTAGCTCTGAATTCAGGGGGAAGGGGTGTCTGCTTGGTGCATAAGCCAAGGTATCTCAAGAGCCAGGTACAAGGGAGTGGACCATGTGGGGAGGACAGGCCACCCTGCTGGACAGCCGCTCAGCTTCACAGGGCCAGGATGTGGGTCTCTGCAGTGAACCCGGGCTTAGCTTTTCAATGTGCAGCATCAGTTATGACCAGGTGTCTGCACCAGTTGTTCCGAACCGTGACCAGGCTCTCGTGTTCAAAACTGTCTGTCCCAGGTTCTGAATCCAAGGAGGGGCTTATAAGGGAATGACCTTCTTGGATTCATGCCCTAATTGTACCACCTTGTCCCCACTTTAAGGAGACAGGGTCTCAGAGATGGCCTTCGGTCACAGTAGACCAAAGATCATCTAGGGTAGACAAGAGGATAACTTAACAAAATGATTATAAACCCAGAGATGAAAAAGGAAAGATTAAGGATTGTACCTAAAACGTTCTGTCTTTATAAACCCAAGAAATATGGATTCATTTTTAAAATATAGGAGCAGGAAACAGAGTTAAAATTAGGGGAAAATACATGACTTAAACTGGTAGATAGGGAATCTTCTTAGTGCCCAGAGGACGTCAGGAGAAAGAGAGGGCTATTTTACTTACTAGTGTAGAGTTCCTGGGGCCCTGAGTACCCTTACAAAAGAAGAAAGTAGTCTCCAAGATCTCAAACCCCAAACACCCTGAAAGGTACCTTCCAGGAGCTAAGAATGGAGAGAGCCCCTAACAAGAGCAATCTGAAACCAGCCTCAAACGGGGGAAGGCTTTACTAGGTAGTCACACAATGCTGAACCTCCTAGCACCTAAAACTCAGTCCACAAAGAATGTCGGTTTCAAAGCAGCACAGCTGTTAGAGGTATGAGCCGCGCCTTGGGAAACACATCTGGGACAGGGGTACAGTCAGCTTTCTACAGGCAGAGAGAGAGAGAGAATGGGCACCACTCAGGCGGCCCTGCAGGCCGTGAGAGAGCAAGGCCTTCAATGTGGCCCCACAGGGCTGACGGCTTATGTTCTCTCAACCCTTTCAATGCTGCACAGGCGGACACCTGAGAAACCGGGGGAGGGATGAATGCAGGCTCAGAAGTGCAGAAGAACCGTATCCCCACTGCAGTGCAAAGCACAGCTGCAGAAGCAGCTACCCCTCAGGCTGAGCCACTCAGGATAAAACACCAAAAGAGAAGCATCTGGAGTTTCAAAGTACATGGTCTTTGGATTATCAAAAGGAAAAGCATTTTAAAATGTTGGGTGTTTACAGGTTTTACTGCATGTGATCACACTGACCTATCAGTTGGAAAAAGATAGTAACCCAGAAGTGAAAGCAGTGGTATTTTTACTACCTCACAGGGAAAATGACTTCTGTAGCTTTGCAAGCTAAAGGTCAGGTAAAAACACTATCCTTTACTAGATGAACTCCAGACTGAGTTAACTTTTCTTCCATGGAGCCCCTTTCCTATCTAGATTCAAATATATCTACCATCGTGGTGGAAAATACTCTAATTATCTCAGTTATCTTACCATTTTCTGAGTCATCACTGCCAAAAAGTCACTGAAGTTCATTTTGCCTGTCCCCTCCTTATCAATTTCACTTATCATTTTCTTGATTTCTTCTTTCTTGGGCTCAAAGCCCAGGGCTCTCATTGCCACCTATAATGAAAACAGATCATCTCAATAAGCACCTGGAAACCAAGCAGGGGCAAAAATAACTGTTGAAGGTATTAACCCAGCATCTGGTACGATAATGTTAAAGTGATGGGGAAAATTACAGCATTGATCTAACTGATCTTTGCAATCAACTTTCGTAACCCTTGAGGTTAAGTAAAGGCAGGAAAAAGCACAGCACATTCTCCCTTGTTACTTTTTCAGGGAGAAGAGGGCAAAAGGTAGAATGGTGAAGGGGGGAAGACAAGGAAGAGGCAGGGGAAAGGCAAGGCGGTCCCGTGGAATGTGCAGAGCTTGCCTTTAGTTCCTTCACATCGATGGTCCCGGTCCCATCTGCATCAAAGAGATCAAAAGCTTCCCGGATTTCCTGTTTCTGCTCTTCAGTAAGCTCTGGCTTAGGACTCATCCTTTTCCTCTGGGCACTCGACGCCATGTTTGCCTTCTTAAAATTGGAGGCCTTTAAACATTAAACATGTGAGCACAATGTTGAGTAACGCAGTCTGTATTTTATGTAAGATAGCATCAAACATTCATATCTATTTTTAAATAGTGTATACCAACCACTTCCAAAGCTCAGTTTAACAAGAAAGATAACAATTTGCTGGGGGGAAAAATAAAATGATTAATCTTTCCACAAACTTCTGTATCTCCCTTTTCTTTATTGTTTTTAGAAGGAGATACCTTGTTCTCGAAAATCATCTCCAAAGAAAGACAGCCAAGGAACTGATTCTGGAGAACCAGAGATATTCACCTCTTCCCTAAACTCGGGGGTCCTGATTCTGGAAATACCCTTGCAATGCCCACCCGCAGAACTTTTCTTTCCAAAAAGAATTTTGACTTTGAAATCACGTCTAAATTTGGCCAAATGTTAAGATATATACTATTTCTGTATCGGTTAATAAAACCCTTAGTGCTTTCTCCAAGAAGCTGGAAGCAGCTCCTGAACGCCCCATATTGAAATTGCAAAATACACGTTAACAATCAACATAATCTGTTAGCTCGGGGCGAAAACTTTGGCAGAGTGTGGCGGCCAGCAGGCCAGGGTCTGAGAGGTGTCGGGGGCCCACGGGAAAGCGGAGATTTCTCCGCATAGGGAGAGTGATCGCGGGGATTCGGGACAGGCGCAAGGAGCCCTGTGGGGGCCGGCTGTGGGTGAGCGGCAGCGACGGAAAACGAAGGCCCAGCAGGCGGCCGGCATCTCTAATCTCTTCCCAAACCCTTCCGGGACAGAGCTCGAACGAACACGGGACGCGCCGAACCCGAGAAAGGGGCAGAAGAGCGATGCGGCCGGAACGGGGCCTGGGAAGGGCTCAGCCTTGCCGCAGAGGCGCGAAAGGGCGACTAGCACTCACCATTGCTGACCTACTGCACGGCTGTTGTTACGGCAACGGCGTACACACCGACTAGGCGCCTTTCCCAACGCCCCGCGCGCGCCGCCCAGCTTCCCATTGGCGCAGGGCCGGAGTGGGTGGGACTCATCTGGCGAAGCCGGGGCCCCAGGACAGGAGGCGGTGCTCTAGCGGCTGAGAACAGGTCTCATTGGGCAAGATCACTCTGTGGGCGCCGATTGGCTGATACGGCGCCAGACTGGGCCAATCCCCTTGGTAGAGGAAGCTCGGCCGATTCTCAGCTCAGGAGGGCAGGAGAGGAAAGGGAGGTGTCCGGGGCTGGAGCTCGGCAGGTGCTGGCTGTGGAAAAGCTGAGGCTGGCTGGAGATCGCCCACAGACAGGTAGGGGTCTTGGCCTTGTCCCAGGTGTGAGCTGCGGGGCAGGACGGGGAGCCGCCGGGCCCTAAGAGGGAGCGTGCACGAGGCGTTGGCTGCGGCGGCTGGCAGTCGCCCTCCGCCCGCTCCGGACTCTCTGTAGCCGCTTTCCTTCCGGGCTTTGGTGCAACAAGGCCGGGAGGCCCAGGACGGGGCAGTTGCTCGGGTTGCGACCTCCCCGTGTCCCCTGAGTGAGACGTGTGCCCTTTGCCCTCTTCCGCCTTGAGCAGCCAGCGAGGTTACGCCTCTCCCCATCTCTCTCCCGTCCGCCTTCTACCCGGCCTCCGCCGCTCCGTGGCCTCCATCATCGGTCCCTCGCCCTCTGCCCTCCTCCCGGGTCTCCTGGCTCCAGCCCCAGGCCACTTGCCAGGCTCTCCTGCTGCGACCTTCCATCCCAGTCTCCCTTCTGGGAGACCTCCGGCTCTTCACCTTTTCAGGGAGGCCACCGCACACCAAGCCTGCCACCTTGCTGCGATGTTGCCCGTGGTGCTTGTCGCCTGTCGTCTTGCTCCTTCACTAGAAGTCAGGTGCTGGGGGCAGGCGTCTCTGTTTTGTTCACTGCTGACATCCCAGTACTTGGGGACCTGCCAGAGGGAGGGGCACATACTAGGTGCTCAGTAAACCCAGGCCAGATGACTGACCCACCGTCCCGTGGTTCTCCACTCTCACCTCTGCGCCAGCCCCGCTCCATCGGGTCCATTTTCCCAGGGCCCAGCTCTGCTCAGGTCAGTGCCCCACTTGTGAACCTTCAGAGGCTGTGTACTGGGTGGGGCCGGGGATGGGGGGAAGCCCCCGGGAGCTTCTTGCCCAGTTTTACCTTAGCTTTGTCTCTTTGCACCCTGTTGTATAGTTTGGCTCTTAAATATCCCCCAACGGCTACTGGCCCTATCAAGAGGTGGGGCCTAGCGGAAGGAAGTTAGGTCTCACTGGGGCAGGTCCTTGGAGAGGGTGTTGGGATCCCAAACCGCAGTAAACCTTCCCCCTCTTGAAGTTGATTACCTTGGGCATTTTGTCGAAGCAGCAGAGCTAACACACCCCGCTGCCCAGGCAGTCCTCAGGCCAGCAGCCCAACAATGGAAGGAGAACATGCCAGTCCTGCCTGGGCTGGGTGATGCTGGGCAAGCCCCTTGGCCTCTCCAACCCATGGCTCCTCATCTGTCAAGCAAGACCAGCCCTGTCTGCCTAATTACATACCTTTTGGATCTCATTGGGTAACGCACTCACAGGAAAAAGCCCTGGCGTCTCACAGGTCTAGTAGGTCTCATGCAGTGTTCATTCTCCTCTCATTTGCTCACGCTCCACCTGGTGTACAGAAGGCCTTAGGCTTGGCTGAAGTCCCTTCTCTACCCTGTAGTCAGAGCATTCACCCCCACCTACAACTTCCGAGGGCACTTGTCCCCTGCACGCACTTGTCACCTTTGCTCCCAGTCTCCACGCTCGCTGTGACACAATTGGTCACATTACCAAAGTGTACTGGCCCTGTGCCACTGCCTTGTTCTTGCCACCCCAGGCTACAGACTGTCTTTCAGGGGACCAATGCCTCCTGTTGGACTTGCTGCTCTGGAGCCCTAGAACTTGGCTTTCGGACCACCTGTCCTGACCCAGCAGTGCACACCGGGGTTCCCCTCCGCCACGTGCACCCGCAGCCCCTCATGATTTACCGGGTCCTGCGTGAGACGGTGATACCTTGACAGTCGGGGCTGTGTTTGATTCAGCTTCTGCCTCCAGCAGAGGACATTTGGTGACTTGTCCACACAGGATGAAGGCGTGGATGAGGTGGCAGCCAGCTGTGCAAGTCGCAGCTCCCGGTGTAGCCCCCGGGCAGCTCTGAGATGAGGCCATGAAGCAGCAGTGTCAGGGTGAGAGCCAGGACAGGCAGAGGAGGGAGCTCACCTTTGCCAAGCAGGGCTTGTCACAGAGGGGCAGGTGAGTGAGGCCTGGGTGGGGGAGCGCCACTTGTGGAGAAGAGGGAAGGTGTTCCCGGGCAGGAGCTCAGCACACAGGCATGTTGAGGGGCTCCCAAGTGGCCCCTGGGATGTTTGAAACCGGTCATTTTCTGTGTCCTAGAAACTGACCAGCAGACAGAGGAATGGCTGGCAGGACAAACAGTCCCATCAGGTCCGTGGAAGGACACGGGGAGCTGGACTGTGGCAGCGCAGTAGTACAGATTCCCTCCCAACCTCACCAATCCTAATACATACGTTTTGTCCCCTGTGTCACATCTTTGATCTCTGAAAGAGGAGACCCACGTTTTTTTTTCCAGTACCAGGGATCAAACTCAGGACCTCAGACTTGCAAGACAGGCATGGTGCCACTAAACTAAATCCCCAGCCCTAGACCTGCTTCTTTAAAGGGGAGCTCTCATCTGTCTGTTTTGAAATAAACAGACTGCCCTTCCCTTTGTCTGCAGGACTCAGTGGTCTGGAACTTTAGACCCACGTTTTTTTTTCCAGTACCAGGGATCAAACTCAGGACCTCAGACTTGCAAGACAGGCTTGGTGCCACTAAACTAAATCCCCAGCCCTAGACCTGCTAAAGGGGAGCTCTCATCTGTCTGGTTTGAAATAAACAGACTGCCCTTCCCTTTGTCTGCAGGACTCAGTGGTCTGGAACTTTCCCCAGCAGGAAGGAGAAGGCTGGGCTAACTCACTTTTCTCTTTCTTGAGCCCAACAGCAGCCCCAAGATGGGTCTCCTGGATTTCACCAGTGCAGTGTGGGCCTCTTCTTAGATTCCTGTTCGCTTGAGACTGCCCCAAGCAGGTGCTGGTATATATCTTAGTTTTGAATGGATCCAAAGAGCTGTCGTTCCAGAGAAACCAGACCCGAGACATCCCATGTCTGTCTGAGTCTTCACGGTCCATCTGCTGGTCTCTGTGAGTCTGACCACTGTAGTTCCCTCACTTGAGCGGACTCGAACTGCACGTTCTGTTGTGGCTGGTTTACTTCACTCAGCATTGCATTCCAAGGGTTCATCCAGGTTGTAGCATAGGACAAAACTCCATTCATTTTTTTGTAGCTGCAATTCCACTGTATGGTTAGGCCGGGTGTTGTCCATCCATCCATCCATCGGTGGACGCCTGGGCTAGTGAATCATGCTGTTGTGAACAGGCATGTGAATATTTGCTCCAAGGCCCTGTCTTCCTTTGGGGGACACACACCCACAAGTGAACTAGCTGGATCATAAGGGACTTGTAAGTGTAATTTTCTTTTTTGGTACTGGGGATTGAACTCGGGTCCTTGCGCTTGCAAGGCAGGCCACCGAACTGCTGAGCTAAATCCCCGGCCCTAGTGTAATTTGCTGAGGAACTGCCACACTGTTTTCCATGGTGGCCTGTGCCGTTTTGCACTGCCGTCAGCAGTACATGAGGGTTCCGCTTCTCCACATCCTCCCCACACTTGTTTTCTGCTTTCTGGCTTTTGATAGTGGCCATCTAATGGAGCCTCCTGACTGGCTTTGGGTTTTCCCAGTGATTAGTTTATTGAGCACCCTTTCGTGTGCCTTTTGGCCTTCTGTAAAGGAGATCTTTGGAAATGGATTGGAGTCCTTCCCAATTTTCCCTTCAACCTGAATAGTATAACATGTGGTAGATTGAGGTGAGTGTGCAGGGGAGAGCGGTGCCAATGGGATTTGACTCATTTTCTAGGCTAGTCCTGCATGCCCTGTGCCCTAGAGGCTGCTAAGCTATCACCCTAATTATCTGACTCATAGTATTGACAAACTTTTTAAGAACCAGTATATGATTCAAGACAACAGTGGGTTTTGTTTTGACAATAGTCTGGTTTGCTAAATATAGTGTGATCATTGTTTGAGTGGTGCCGCTGCACTGGGGCAGGATCTATTTCTCCTTTCACCTCCTACATCCTGTAGTGAGCGAGGAGGGGAATCGGCTCTGTGGTGCCTTGCTTTTGCTCGTCGAATGGGGCCATTGTGGAATCCGCAGCTGTACTGTTTGTACTGCAAAGGATCCTTGCGTCCTTCCTGGGTGCGCTGTAACAACTGACTACAAACTGTGGGACTGAAAGCAACAGAAATTGATCCTCTCTGTCCCGGTTCTAGAGACCAGGAGTCTAAGGCCAAAGTGTCCCCTGGTCCGTTCTCCCTCAGTGTCTCTAGGGGAGACTTCTTTCTTGCCCCTCCTGGCTTCTGTTGGTGCCAGACATTCCTGAACTTGTGACCATGTCACCCAATCTCTGCCTCTGTCTTCTCCTGGCCTCCTCTTCTCCCTGTCTCTCTTCTGCATGCCTCCTATGAGAACACCTGTCGTTGGATTTAGGGCCCATCAGGATAACTGCCTCATCGTCCTGCATCTACAAAGACCCTTTTCCATGGATGGGCACATTCACACATTCCAGGGCTCAGGGCATGGCTGGATCTTTCAGAAGCCTATACTAGCCCACCCGTTCCGCACCAGCGCTGTTGCAGACGTCATGGTGGAGCCCAGGCTGGTGTCTCCTTAGAGTCCGGAGCCCCTTCGTCACAGCATCACAGTCTGCTCTGGCTGTTCCCCTCTGCCAAGGGCCCCCTCTGTGTTGAGAGATGTCCCCAGAGATGACTTTCCTCATCTGATTCTTTTGAAACAACTGGTACCAAGGCTTAAACCTACAAACCCACACAATCCCTCAGATGCCAGAGCATTCCTACCCTGTGGCTGTCACAGAGATCTTCAGAGAAAAAGCCCCGTATTCTCCTCCCTGCCGCTGAAAGGCACAGAATAGATTTTGGTTATCCCTCTGTGGCCCACTCTTTTCCTACTTCTCAAGCAAAGCTTAAGGCAAGGAAGCTGATTAAATGTTTCTGCTCTAGTTAAGAACTGAGTGCAGTGCTCTGGGCTCATCCCTCATCCCATTCCTTGAATGAGGTGGGAGGAGGAAGTATTCCTCCCTACCCAAGTGTATTTGCCAGTCTCACTCCTTTTTGTGGCACCGCGCCACTCTCTCTGTCACCCCCTACACAATGCCGGAACCTCCTCTCTCGTGCACAGCTCAGCGAGGCCTGGGAGCCATTTCCAGGGTAGGCTTCCCCTGCATAGTTGCAGGTAAGCGGCAGAGGTGGAGGGTGGTGGAGGAAGTCACTGAGGGACTCAGGGAGGCGGGGCGGGGTCTGCTGCAGAGGAACTGAGGTGCGTGATGTTAATAACAGCTGCCTCTCCTGGAGTGTTAGCGGGCACTCGGCTGTGCTGGGGGCCATGCAAACATTTTTCTCATTTAATTTTATTTAATCCTTGTAATCTTACGAGGCTATTCATTTCACAGCTGAGGACTGAGGCGCAAGACTCTGAAATAACTGCCCAGAGGGATTCCTGCTGCTAAGAGGCAGAGCCAGGATCAGACCCAGGCAGCAGGGGCTCTGGATTCATTCATTTATTGCCAAACAGCTGCATTGAAGAGGCGCTTGCTTCTCACAGCATTTTTCCCAGGTGCTGGGGGACTGGGGCAGGCGGAGCAGAGGCCTTCCAGAGCAGACCCCTCCCGGTGGGCAGGACACCATCATGGTCCCTGCTAGCACAGGTCTGAAACCACCTGGGTGAGGTCGGAAGCTGGCTGTGGGGGGCCCGCTTAACCCCATTGACTGCCATCGGTCTCCGCATTTGCTTGCTTCCCTAAGGCTCTGGGGAAATGAGGGCATTTTGTAGCACTGCCACACCAAGAACAAGGCCCTCTGCCTGGAAAGCTCCCAGAGTGGGTGGCTGTGGTTCAGGTACAGTGGAGCGCTGCTTTGGTCCTGCTACACAGAGAGACCAATGAACCGGTCCCGGCCCTTTTTGTCTGGGCTGAACAGACAGTGGGGCCCGTGGCAGTGTGCGGGGCACTGTGGGACAAAGGGAAGGAAGGGACAGGCACATAACTAACCACAAGTTGACTTTGCTTATTCATTAGATGTGTTGGATGAAGGCCAAGGAAAGGGAAAGTTTTGAAATAGATTTTCCTGATAACTTCCGGTGTGAGTTCAGGAAACTGCTCTCCTGAAGTTCCCACCCAACACTGGTCTCACAGTCTTTTCAGCCTTCAGTATGCCCACAGAATCCATGCGTTCTCGAAACCAGTTCCTCTGGGGACACATGGCAGCGCCTGTTGGTTGAAAGCGGCGAGTATAAGACCAGCTGCGTGACTAGATTGGAGAAGTCATGGTGTTTGAGACCCAGTGCTGGCTGCCACCCAGTGGCGCTCTCTGAATCAATCTGTCATTTTACAGGGTGGCTCATTTTTTCCTGGTGGCTTCTGCCATCCCTGCATCTTAGGGGGATCCATGACTAAGTAAATTGACCCCTGCCAAGAAAACTGATACAGAATCAAATACCACAGAAATAAGTGGCTTCTTTGTGCTTGTGATTCAATGTTCTGGGTAAAGGAAGAAGGGGGCACACCCTCAGGACTGTCAGGAAGGCCTTGGCTTCACTTCTGTCTCAGCTGTGTGGTCACCACCAAGATTTGACCAATTCTAGGGATTTCGAATGGACCAACGAACTCTTGAGTTCTTCCGTGCATAGTCAGGGAGTCAGGGTGGCTTTCACATTGTTTTCCTTTGTTTATTTTGTTTTGTTTTGTTTTCTAGTAGTACCCTGGGCCTTCACATTGAGTTACATTCCCAGCCCTTCTTTATTTTGAGACAGGGTCTTGCTAAGTTACTGAGTTGCCCAGGCTGGACTCAAACTTGTGATCCTCCTGCCTCAGCCTCCCAGAGGGCTGGGATTACAGGTGTGCCCTGCCTTGGCTGGCTAGGCTGACTTTGACTTACCAAGCAGGAGAATTCTGTCTCTCATTATACTCTACCCCCTACCCGCCTCCGCATCCCATGCGTGTCCTGATGTCCCGGAGATGAGCCCTCGAGTCCATTTCACTAACGGACAAACTTAGCTGTGGTGAATAGAAGCCAGTGGAGCAGGTTTGTGCAGTTGAGGCAAGAACCAGGGCTGGAACCCAGGACTCCCTAGACCTGTGCATTGCCCCCACCTAAAGAGCACCGAAGAGGAGGCCAGAATGGTGGAGCGGGAGTGCCATGGCCACTACAGTGCAGACTGCCCTCAGTGGCTGGCAGTTGAGCTTCGGGAGCAGCTCCTCTTTCTGCCTCTGACCCCAGTGCTTCAGTGCGAATGCAGTGGGGGTGCATCCACCCCCAAACACATACAGCCAAAGTTGTGTTCGTTTGTGTAATACTAGTATCCCTCTAAATATGTGTTCAGGACGAAGAAAAGTTGATTGCAAACAAGACCATAGTTTGAGCCATCATGGAACAAGCAGTCGGTGAACCCATGGGAGACCAGATCACACAGACACATTGGACAGGGGACATTGCCACAGTGAGTACTGACGTAAAAATGGTCAACCACAGTCAGGTAGGGCAAGCTGAAGGCATACATTGCTATCTGCCTATGCGGTAAAAACCAGGTCTAATACATTTATTAAATCAGTTAGTGCTGGGTATGTTCAATACAAGATACATAACCTTTGTTAACATGCATCAGTGATTTTTTGCCATGTAAAGATTTCAAAGAGCAACAGTTTCTGCTGTAGACCCTGCACTCTGGGCTGGGCTGGGACAGGGGGTTGCTGGCTGATCTCCCCCAGGCTTAGCCATGAAGCTACAGTCCCGTCTGTGTCCCTGGCTCACCTGGCTCACACATCTGGCAGTCACTGAGGGCTGCCAGGTGGGCATCTTGATTTGCTAGTATGTGGCCTCCGGTATGCTGGACTGGTTCTCCTGGTGACCCTTGCTAGCCCTCCTAAGATCTAGCATCACAGGCCTCAGAAGGGACTTGAAGAAATCATCCAGCCTGGTAGCTGTGGATCCTCCTGGAGATTTTTCATGTAGACCCACAGGAGCTCGGTTTGGTTCACTCCTACTGACAGCAAAATCACATAGAGGTGAGCTGTGTCCTACGGAACATTAGCAAGTTACAGATCCCTGGCCGCTGGATCACAAGGCCGAGTAAGGCCTCTCCGGAGCTTCTTTAGTTCAAACTCTTTGCTAGCTGGGATCTGCTAAGAACTTACTGCTGTTTGGCAACACCCCCAAAAAATGGCACAAACTGCCATTGTCATCAAGGTTCAAATTTGTGTGTTTTTCAGGATAGCTTCTTTTTTCTCATTGATTGAATTCCCAGGTAGAAAATGTTCTAAATATAAACTACTCAAAGAGAATGTTTGTGTCTTGATTTATATACATGTTTTTGCACAAGACCTCTTGAAATAAATTCTGCTAAAGTCAGAGGAAAACCAGAAGAGTTTGGGGAAAAAATCTGGTGGCCTACATCATTCTCTTATATTTACAAATAAAAATATTATTAAATACTAATCACACATTTTGCTGGTTATGAGAATTGGTTCTTATTAGTTAGTGAAAAGTACAGTCTGGAAGATGGATGATCAGTGCATTATGGCTTCATTCTAAAAGTATTTTCAGTCAGTTAAAGTTTTACTCCCAAGAATAAGCCCAGACCTATACATTTTTATTTTGTGGGGAACATTTGGTAGAGCTGCACAAATGTTGGACACGTAGTAGATAGGTGGTTTTAAAAATAAACAGTTCTAAAATGATTAGATATTTTTCCATAGGTTATTTTCACTTTCTCAGAAAATGAAGTTGGGACCAAAATTACTCATTTTCCTACAGAGAGAGAGGACAAGAGTTACAATGATAGCTTTTGTGAGAAAAGAAACATCCCAGCCATGGGCCATTGCAGTCTTTACCTGGCCAGCTAAGAAAAATGGGGGTTTGTCATGTTAAGAAACCCCACATGGAGTTTTGGCAATGCCTGGGGAGAAGGGATATCCCTAGACCTCCTTTGGGGACACTTGGAGCCGGATTATTCAGCAGGTGACAGCCAGTGCATTTCGGGTTCTGGAGGGAGTGGCACTGAGGAGCTGAGCCTGCGCTGTCCCGTTTGTCCCTGGGTTCCCATCTAGTGGCTCTCTCATTTGCACTGCACCACAGTGGAATGAGATATGTAGTTTCCACATGGTCCTTTTGACTTGCTGTATAGGAGCCAAGTTGTGAAGTCGATTGGCTTCTTTTCTAATTGTGAATCCAGATATTTCAGTGCCTGTGTGTGCTCCTGTGCCCTGGAATTTAACCAAGCAGACAGGCAGGATGGGGAGGCTGGGATGTAAACAGTGACCTCCGAGACAGGAAAACAGAGCCCCAGCCTGAGTCGCGAACAGTTCACTCACTCTATACACCCTGCCTGGAGACCGTGGGGCAGTCTTCGGTAGCCGGGCTGAGACCGGAAGAGGCAAGCAAGGTGACCACAGCCCAGCGCCACACAGGCCTGCCCGTTGTGGGAGGGAGGCAGAAGGATTTGGTTGTGAGTGCCGAGACTGTCTCCCCAATGTTTTAAGCACGGACTGTCAGGCGGCTGCTTGGTGTTCTTGCCTGAAAGGAATGCCCAGAGAACAGGTCAGGTACTGGGAGTGAGGAGGTATCACCTTTGGTTTCTTTCCTTTTTGCCCAGGTGCTCTGGGGTGGGTCCCAGGCGGTTCTGTTTCCTTTCACTCAGTACAGAGCTTGGATCATGCCCTCAGAGCCGGCGAGGACCCTCTGATCCCAGGGGAGGAGGTGGCCCTGGTGACGGAGCACCAGGATTGTATGACTCTTCTGTCCAGGCTCAGGCAGACTTTCCAACAAATGTGCCTGCGTGCAGTGGCTCCCAGTGTGTCAGCCGGGCTCTCGCTCTATCCTGGGTCCCACCACGTCAGGCCTGCCGCCCCTCTTTCCGCAGGCTAAGAAGTGCACGGTGATCGGAGGCTCGGGATTCCTGGGGCAGCACATGGTGGAGCAGCTGCTGGCCAGAGGCTACACTGTCAATGTGTTCGACGTCCGGCAAGGCTTTGACAATCCCCATGTGCGCTTCTTCCTGGGCGACCTGTGCAGCCAGCAGGTGAGGAGCGGCTGGGTCACCGGCCAGAGGGCGTTGTTTTATGCTGAAAAGTTAGAAACTTGTAGAAAAGACTTAGCCACACACTGCACTGTTACTCCTTGCCTGCATCCACAGTCCATGCTTTAGAGAACACCTGTGGCCATGTGCCAAGGGGACGTGACAGGAAGTTTTCCTCAGATGAGGCGAGTCTGAATTGAGAGACCCTGTAAGTGCAAAATCTAGCAGCTTTCAAAGAATGTCTGGGCGACCTGTGCAGCCAGCAGGTGAGGAGCGGCTGGGTCACCGGCCAGAGGGCGTTGTTTTGTGCTGAAAAGTTAGAAACTTGTAGAAAAGACTTAGCCACGCACTGCACTGTTGCTCCTTGCCTGCATCCACAGTCCATGCTTTAGAGAACACCTATGGCCATGTGCCAAGGGGACGTGACAGGAAGTTTTCCTCAGATGAGGCGAGTCTGATTTGAGAGACCCTGTAAGTGCAAAATCTAGCAGCTTTCAAAGAATGAAAAAAAAGAAACCTAAATATCTCTTTCACAACTTTTGTATTGGCCAATGGTGGTGCACACCCATAAGCCCCGCCCTTGGAAAGCTGAGGCAGGAAGATTGCTGTGAGTTCGAGGCCAGCCTGGGCTACACAGTGAGTTCATCACTGGCCTGAACTACAAAGCAAGACCTTGTCTCAAAAAACCAAACAGACAAATAAATAACTTTTATATTGATTATGTTAAAATGATGTTTTACCTAAAAATTAATTTCACCTATTACTTTTTCTCTCACTCTTTATTTTTTTTTTCAGTACTGGGATTTAAAACCCAGGGTTGCTCAACCACTGACCTACATTCCCACCCCTTTCTATATTTTTATTTTGAGACAGGTCTGATTAAGTTGCCCGTGCAGGACTCAAAGTCACAATCCTCTTGCCTTTCATTTTACTTTTTTCATGTAGCAGCTATAAAATTTAGGGTCACATATGCGGTTATTATATTTTTTTTACATTAAGGACTTGATCTACATCTGGCTTGGTTTTTTCCTCTAATGCATCATGAGCCGATGCCCTGGGAGATATCTATACATATGAGCATGTCTGTGTGTGTGTTCACCTGTATAGTTACACACAGTTCCCTCTTCCTGACTCCCTCCACAAGGCCAGCTGTAGAGTCCGAGATAACCAGGCATTCGGGCCCTGTGCTGCTCCTGTAGTCTCAGCATGAGCCCATGTGTGCCCTTTTCCTCTGATCCATCTCCTTTCCACCTGGCTGTCCGTGCTTCAGTCGCACTTAGATAATGAAACTTCCGTGACAGCCCAGTGCACGGGCTGTGGTGCCCACTCGCCTCACTGCTCCCCTGTACACCCCGCCCTGGGCCTCTCCTCCTCTCCAGCCTTGTGAGACCCTTCACAGTAGGTGGGGAACATGAGGACAGGCCTCACTGTGTTCTGTGCTCACTTCACCAATCTCAGTAATAACCCCCAGGTGAGGAATGGGGATGTAGCCCAGTGGAAGAGCGCTACAGCCCCTGCCTCACCTGTGGAAGGGCCCTGCTAGCATCACCAGTGCCACCCAAAAGGAAACCATCTGGGGTTGGGGAGTGCAGAGTCCCCAGCTGGGGATCCTTCAGAAACGAGGTTCAGACTACTTGGTGCTCACTTGGTGAGTAGGGTTTCAGAAGTGGTCTGTGCCGAGTTGGGGCCTGTTTTCCTCAGTACCCTCAGACACCAGTAGCAGTGAGCATGCTCAGTGTGCTGCTGAGGACCAAACTCACGCGGGCATATCAAAGTGCAGAGGCGCCAAACTGAGGCGCCTCCACTGGCCAAACTTGGGAGATTTTGAGTTTCACAAAAGATAATAGTAGTGGACTGTTATATATTGAATTTAAAAAAATAAATAAATAAAACTACATGTCCATAGAAAGACTGAAAAGAAAAATTCAGGTGAGGGAAAGGGAAGTTTAGCTTTCTGCAGCCAGCAGATGGTCAGCTCACAGGTTGCTTGTTGGCTGCAGAGGGGAAAGGAGAGCCTCTGGGTAGCTACGGTCCAACAACTGCCACCTTCACCAAGTGATCCATCTCAGCGTCGTGGTGCTGGGCAGATGTAGGCCCCTGAGCTGTGGCATTGGAGCGGGATTCTTGCCGTATCTCAGTAAGCCTGAATGTCACCCTGCGGAAACACAGAAGTCTAGGAAATAACCATCCCGATCCCTTGAAAAAATGGCAGTGTTACCAAAGACAGAAAAGGAGAGATAGGAAGTTGTTCCCGATTAAAGCATAAGGTCTAAATGCAGTGCGTGATCCCTGCTTGGACCCTCGCCCTGAATTCAGGACAGCTAGGGATGCTTGAGGACAGAGTACTGTGCAGTGTCCATTCGGAGCTTGCTTCCGGGCCATTGTGCGATTGTTTAGGAAAAGATAGCTGTGATCACGCTCCTGGGGGAGATTAAAGTGCCAAACTGGTCTCCCTTCCGCGTACTTGCATAGTGTTTGAGTCTTCTTTGAGAATGTGTTTCTGCATCGATTCTGGAATTATAAAAAGGCAAGGGACCTCCTGGCCCCAGGGGGTGGAGAATATGGGAAGTGACTCTGCTGTCCTTGTGTGCTTTGCCAGGACCTGTACCCAGCTCTAGAAGGCGTAAGCACTGTTTTCCACTGTGCATCGCCCTCGGCGTCCAGTAACAACAAGGAGCTCTTTTATAGAGTGAACTTCTTTGGCACCAAGAACGTCATTGAAACTTGCAAAAAGGCCGGGGTTCAGGTAAGGAGAAGGCGGCAGGGAGCACTTTGGGGAACGTGCCGTGGCCTCTGCTGGCCCCCAGGGATGCGGCTTTTTGCCATCTTCCTAGACTCCACCCACTGGGGCTGCTTCCTAAATGTTTGGAGCTTAGAAAGCAGCCCTAGACGTGAGTGGGGATCATTAAGGGCCACTTGCCAGACCGGCCGCAGTTGTCACATCATGACTGCATATACACAGGCTATCCAAGGACCCGAGCTGCGGACTTTAGACATGCCTTGTATTTTTATTGAGACAAAATATGCATGGCATTGAACCATGGTAAGCATACCTGTGAGCCACTTAGAAGGCTATATTCAGTAGCTTTGAGTATATTCCCAGTGTTACGCAAGCAGCACTGCCAGCTACCTCTGGACCCTTGTCTCCTGCCCCTGTTAGACAGTTCCAGGAAGCTACCATGCCGCCGTCTATCTCTGAATCAGACGCCTTCAGGGACATCCCAGGAGGTGACTCATGCAATGCGTGTCCTTTCGAGACTGGCTCATTTCACTGAGCGGAATGTTCAAGTCTCATCTGTGTTGTAGCACGTGTCTGATTTTTCCTTTTCCTTTTTACAGCTGCATAAAATTTCTTTGCTGGAGGGAACACATTTGAGCAGCAGTGACTTCCGCTGCTGTGAATACAATTGTACCAGCAGCTGTTCAGTCTCAACTTTGAATTTTTTTTGTCTGTACCCAGATGTGGAATTCCAGGTTGATATGGTGACTGTATTCAACCTTTTGAGGCACCTCCACATTGTTTTCCAGTGCTTGCTTTTCTTTTCAAAAAATACAACCCATGTTTGCTCGTAGCCTATGGAAACCTGTCATGACTCAGGCTGAGTATGGTTAGGAATTTCTACCATGTGGTAACTTGCTGTCCTGTCTCAGGGTGGCCCTTCTGTGGCCCCGGCTCCCTCACAGTGACATGCGCCAAAGACACTGCGCAACCGGGAGAAAAACATGTAGGGAGCTGGGGCCTCCTCTGCCAGCGAGAACAGGCAGCAGAGGAGCATCTGGACTCTAGTGGGTGACAGCAGTAGTGAACCCTACCCTGCACACCCAACAAGATGCTTCGCAGTGTTACCGCTCCTACCTGCTTTCCACCTCCTCAGGTAGCCAGGGGCTCAGGAAGTCTCTGCTAGTGAAGACAAGAGGTGGCGGGTCCTCCAGAGAAACCCCCTGGGGGAGTCAAAGCCCCGTGTGGCCGTCCGCAGCACCAGCCCTCCCTCCTTCCTGTGTGGCGACTATCCTGCGTTCAGCTTTATCGTTTCTCTTTGCTCCGTGAGTACCCAGTAGAAGACACTGGGTTGCATATTATAAAAGTGGCATCACGTTGAATGTACCTGTTTCTCCAGCAATCCATTCTTGAGCTTCATCTGGAGTGGCTCGGGCAGCCCCAGTCCACTCTGTAATGAGGCAGAAATGTTCAGTGGGCAAGGGCACAGGGAATACACCTCTCTGTTGTGTCTAAGGGACATCTTCCAGCACCAAGATGGAAAGATTGTTTGATGTATTTTATCCCAAATATCTCAAGGGTGACTTTGCACGCAGAAGTCTTTACTCCGCAAGAATGTGTGTGGATATGTGTACTCAGGTCAAGATTGAGCACTCTTTCCGTAGGGGTTGCCAGGTCAGCTGGCATCTTGTCCTGGGTGCTGGTGTCCTGCCCTGGCCCTGCTGTGCTCTCTGCCAGGCTATGCTGGCCTCTGGGCCTGTGCTGTGCGGGCTCTGCCTTCATGGGGATCATGTCTGGTAAGACATGTCAACCCCCACCAACGTCTTCCACATACATTCAGGAGGAGTGGGGGGTGAGGCAGGGTTTCACCATGTAGCCCAGGCTGCCCTCGAACTCGTGGGGATCCTCCTGCCTCAGCCTCCCGAGTGCTGGGATGACAGGCGGGAGCCACCACACCCAGCCCACAGTTTAGAATCAGCTTGTCAAGTTCTTAATGAACCTGTTGAACTGCTATTGTAATTGTATGGAACTTCTGGGTAATTTTGGAGAGAACTGATATCTTTGTTACACTGAGTCTTCCTATCCGTAAATGAGATCTCTCTCCCTCTCTAATGCCTTTCAGTGGAGTTTTGTACTGTACTTCATAAAAGTCTCACGTATCTTTTGTTGAATTTATTCCCATGTACCACATTTTGTGTCATTCACTAACTTTCATGTTGCATTTTTGTCTGTTACTAATATATGGGAATATGGTTAATTCTGGGTTGCTTTTGAACTCAGTGACTTTGCTGCACTCTAATATTTTCTATATGTTCACCTGTGTTTTCTGTATAGATTTTTCTATCACCTGTCTTATCCTTTTTCTCTGTCTGGGGCTTCTAGAAAAATGTTAAGTAGTATTAAGTAAAAGCAGTAAAGATACGAACGAGTGTGGTGGCACACTCCTATAATCCCAGCACTCTGGGAAGCTGAGGCAGGAGGATCACAAATTCAGTCCCAGCCTGGGCACCTTCGTAACTTAACATAACTGTCTTAAAATTAAAAACATTTTTTAAGGGCTGGGAATGTAGCTCAGTGCAAAGGCTGTGGGTTCAGCTACCAGTACCAGGGAAAAAAAAAAAAAA